GGAAAGTAATATAACCAAGAGCACAGCTTTGCTTATATAAAGGCACGTGGGGCCGATCACCTTGCCTTGCAGGCATAACCAGTAACCAATTTTGAAAAAAGAACCAGTTAAAAATGGTTGTCTTCATCCCATGCAGCTAGAACACAGCCCGAAAGCAGCTGGATCAGTGCAGCTGAAGGTGCAACGTTTAAATGTGGTGAGGAGCAAATGTTTACAGGAGGCAGAAAGCCACTGTGGAGCTGACAGAAAGACTCCATTTCACCAGTAGTGGAACTGCCTGAGACATCTCCCTCCTCACTTCCCAGTTTTTGCTCTTTTGTTCCCTTTCTTCTGTGATGAATAATGGATCTATCAGCTGTTTGTATAGTTACATGCCAACTGAAAGTGCAGAGGGAAGGAATTGCAGTTAGACGCTAGGAAAGTAAAAATGTCCATAATAAACAGTCTTTCTTTTGAAATAGCTGGGGAGCGAGAACTCATGTCAAACTCCAGTTAAAAGATGCTACCGGATTAGCTTCTTAACTTTCTTGTAAAAATAGCAGTGTCAGAAACATCAAGTAGCAGTACTTGTGTACAGATACACCAGTTTGCAGGAAGAAATAAACACTTATTGGCAAACACTCAAAGTATACGAATATCATTTGCACTAGAAGCTTAAACATCTGTGGAAACTTCTGCTGACATAGTTACACCGGTCAGCTATTACATTACTGATACCACATTCTCAGAACAGAATTTAGGAGGTCAACTACATCTGGCTCAAGCAGTAGTCACGATACACAAATACACAATCCATGCATGTGAGTGAGGCATTTATTATTTACTCAAAACTCCTAAAATTGAATTGAGGATGAAATGTAATCAAAAAATTGCATGTTCAAACTACCATACCAACAAAATAATGTTTCTAAATTATGAATTTATGGTATATTTCTTTAGATTTTCAATATACACAAAGGATCTGATTGAACAAAGAGGTGTAATTCACATCCACTGTTCTGCATCTGTCTTGCAAGATGGACAACTTTTTCCCTGCTGAATTGATCTGCATACATTGCAAGTCTTAATATAATACCATCCTAGGGATTATCTAAGTCAGAAATGCATAGGACCTTTAGCGTAAATTTTCTATAACTCTTGCAACACTACAGAAATTCCAAAAAGGTAAAATAAAGTTGTTCCAATATTTCAACAGGATGAGTTGGGCAGTCAGAGGCTTGTCAGCTACAAATCAGCACCAAGAAAAACAATTAATACAAAATTTGGTTACTGAATTATTAAATGGGGAAGAGCAATATACTTATCACAAGGATTTAATGCATCTTTTCTGACACTTTTGATGAACCCACAAGTTTTTTCTTATAAAGACAGCAGTAATGACGTTACCCTTAGATACACAGCGTACCACCTAGCACTTTGAGAAACTAGATACGAAATCAAGTTAAATGGACTAAAAAAAGAAACAAGAGTTCCAAGATGTATTTTTAAATATAAATGATCGGTAAATGTCTTTGATTGGGGTTCATAAGTTGTGCTAGGTTTAGCTGTGGGGATTTAAGAGGTCACTTGTCCACCTCTCCACCCTACACTGCATTTCACAGGGGAACTGGAAAAGCAACCAGTGTGCCTGTTTTCAGATCCTAGAGTTTACAGTGTGATGTTTTAATACAAATATATATCGCCATCTATTTGATTTCAAATTAGAGGTGTGAAATGAAACAATTCAGGAGTATGCTGTGCATTCAACAGCTTTCACCACAGGAATGGCAGTCTCAAGCAAGAGGACAAGGCTACTGGATAGTTAATCTGTTAGATTTCTAGTGGACCTTACAAGGTTCTGGCACTGGCTTTATGCAATTTGACCTTTTTGTGTATATACATATATATATGTGTGTGTGTGTGCGCGCGTATAAAGTGACCTGGATGTACAATATATACTGATAGGTAAAAACAAAGGCAGAGAAATTGATAAATAATGGAAATTAAATGCCACTAGCACAGAACAGTCTGCGTTGTTTGGTAAAAAGATGATCAGTGACATGCACTTCAATAGACTAAAACGTAAATGCAGACTCAGGAACAAAGGCGGCATGCCACGCTCGCACTACGGAGCACGCACTTCAGGGATGCTGAACCTTGATAAAAGTTAGAAACGGCTGATACATAAACAGCAACATCAAGGAGAAGCAGGGAGATTTTATTTCTGTCGTTGACACAGATATGATCACTGTTCAAATGCTGTGTCTAGTACTTACATAGAGCCTTCAAGAAGCATGGTGACAACATGAAGAAAATCCAGGGAAGATCTGTGATTATGATTAAAGGATGACAAAAGAGGCCTTATACTACAGAATACAGGGATTCAAACTATGCATTTTATCAAAGAGACAGTTTAGAATTAATTTAATCAGCCTTGTACTCTTGGTGAAAAAAACATTCATAGTGTCAGGCTCCTCAGTTTGTTACATGTCGCCACAGTTCTTGGAGAACCCACCAGCGAGCAACTCACACCTCCCCCTGCCTGGGACTTGAACATGCCCAGCTGAAGTACATCCACAGCATTTTCCATTTTCTTTCTTTAAGTAATCTTTTAATTTTATTTTCCTTGAATTCATGTTTTTATTTTTCTTTAATATTTTAATTCTATTTTTACTATTTAAAATATAAATTATATTTCTGTTATTTCATACTATTTTTCTTTTTCTTTAATTATATTTGCATGGGTTGCTTGTAAAGGTTTTAAATACTAATATTTAACAGCAGAATATTTAACAGAGAAGACATCCAGAACAACTTCTGCCCACCTCACAATCCAAAAAGGACCTAAGTATCATGGATATCACCTTCCCCATTCCTTTACTACAGTATAACACTCACACACCATCCTGCACCCTTACCTATCCTCCTCATTGCTTCTTTGAAGTAGGATCTCAAGCTCATCTCTCCCACTACTTATGCAGCACACAGCTCCACCTCTCAAAACCCAGCATTCCCCCTCTCTCCCACACCTCCACCTGGGACCCTGACCTAAACATGTGTTTATTCCCTTCATGCCACAGACCAGGATCTCGGGCCATGCTTCCACTACCTCTTACTCTCTTAACACACAACCCTGCTCCAAAAAACTACCCTCATACTCCTCTGCTGCATATCCCATCTAGCTCAGAGCCCTTCCTGCATCCTGAACTGGAAGTGCAGGTCCATACACCACACAGATTTCCAACAGGCTGCTGAGAATGATGGAACAGAACAATCAGAAACTGACAGCGCTGAGTTACAACAAAACACCCATCAAGCAACCATCTGCATCAAGGGGTTTAGCCCACAGCTCAAATCAGAGCTTGTATCCAGGCAGCTACCAGAGACCCACTGACATGTGCACAGAGGTATTTGCCCTATGGGTCACATTGTCCATTGGCGGAGGCAGAAGGTGCACCATCACCTGCTCTCTCTCTCTTCTTCCAACCTCCACATCCCCTCCTCTTACCTAGTATGCAGCACATAAGCAACCACTGTAGAAATTTACTACGAGATAAAGTGGATTCTCTCACTGGAAATTCACGTTGAGATTGGGTATTTTCTAACAGATAAGGTCCTCTTCAACCACAGCTACTACATAAAAAATCAGAATTAATATGTGTTAGTTCTCCATTGTGGATTGCTTAGGTCCCTCTACACTCCATTTATTATAAAAAAGTTCAAATCAAACCCTGAAATGTTTTTAAGTTCTATACTTACTCATCTTTGTTCAGCAGATAATGGTTTTCCACCGGTTTCTGTGCCACCCATTGACTACTGTTAACATATGAATATTTCTCCAAGATCATTTGAGAAAAGTAACTGAATAAGGCATTTTGTTAGTCTCACTATGAAACTTTGGCGTTTGCATTCTTGGAAATGCTGCAAATTAAGTACTGGGAGAACAAAAACCTCATGCTTTAATAACAGTAACATTTACCCACCACCATTCTCCCTCCTACTGCAGGCTTGACATGAGAACCAAATCTTTTCCACGAAGGCGCGAAGGCAAGGAAAAGATTGCTAGTTCCTGCGGTCCAACCCCAAGCCCACAAGTGTAACCAAGAGATATGGTCAGGTCACCCTGTAAACCTGGTATTCCAGGACACCCCCTACATTTCTACCATCTCTTGATAGGAATTACCAGAGTATCCCCGCAATTATATCCCAAATTTCTGAGGTGGCAATTGATTAAAGAGATTAAAGGAATTCACAAAAGTCACAGATTTCAAGAACCTGAGATTTCTCTCTGATCACTAGATTGTTCTAACTTCTCATCTTCATGGCTTGGATTGCCACCAAAAATAACCCACATTTAAAAGGGATTTGGGTGGTTTGGGTGGTTTGTATTGCAACTGTAACAACATTTAGACACAGTCTATGCTTACATAAACAACTTTTTTTGGTATTACATAATGAGCACCATAACTATGCTGTTAACAAAACAATGTATACTCTCAACCTATGTAACCTGATCATGCTAATTCCAACACAGCATGAAATCCATGCCTTCAGCTCTCAACCTGTAGCACCCTGTTTCACATTGAAAACACTTCAGCAAGACAGCCGTGTAAAAACTTTGCAGGTTAGA